TTAACCCCTTGCACCATGAGGGAGGCCCTCCCAGACCATATTCTTATATTAAGGATATCTGTTTCATTACAATAAAATCCAAGCTCCTCAAGCTGCCATACAAAGCTCATATCATCTGACCTTTGCTTTCAGTTACCACCTTCCTTTTCCCTTCTCCATTACACTCTACACTCAAGTGGTATTTATCTTCTTTCAGGTTCTTAACAATATCCTGTGCTCTGGACACTTGCACATGCTGTCCTTTTTTTTTTTTTTTTTGGAATATCATTTTTCAGTCTCTTCCTCAGGCTATCTATTATTTATCCATCAGGTCTCAGTTTAGGCGTCACATTCTGCAGGAAAGCTTTTTTAACCCCCAACCTGGTTATACCATGTGTTTTCATGGCATACCATTATCTCCACACAGGTAGTAGCCTGGATAAGCACAGAAACTCCTTTGTAATGTGTGAGCCTCTGCATGCAGAGCCTTAAACTACCAGCTAACAGCCCCACTGCTACATTTCCAGTGTTCTCCCAGTGCTATATGTCACAGGCACTTGACAACTATTTGTTATAGGATAGAAATCACTTCACCCTACTAGATCATTAAATCATTTGTTATAAATTCCATCACCTTGTTGTTCTGCAGCCTCCTGTCTACTCCCACTGTAGTCACCTAGCAGAGTGTACTTTTATTTAAGATGGATTTGCAACCTTCCTACCAATTATAGGGGTATCAGAGGATGTCCATTCACTCAGAATAGACAAATTCTAAAATCCATGCTCTGTGTTTTTTCATGAGATAGTCTATTAAACATTGGTTTTTAGGTCCAGCTCAACATAGTTATCCTACATATATTTAAAATTACTAGCAAACAAAACTGATGAAGTAAATTAAGTAAGTAGAACTACTGGGCTATGCACCTGCAGTTTTCAGACAAGTGCACTGCCAGATGCCTAGCAGGGTCTGGACCCCTTCTTGCTGCTATACATACGGTGCTACATTTCAGAGCTCTCCATTCAGAAGTCCTGGGGTGAGCAGGAAGGGGCACCACATTCCGTATGTGGTACCACCTCATCAGTGATGGGGATCACAGGGACAAACTCTAAGCAGTCACTCGTCACATATTCTACTGATACCATGTTATTCCGAAGCTGATATTTTTGGTACTAGGACATTTTGAACTGTCAGCTTTTTTAATTATTAGCAATGCACTCTCATCATCTCTTAGCCTTCCCCTATGCCATAACTAATTCTGTCTTCATTTCTGAGGGACTCCCAGATATTAAATTTGTATTTTTAAATATCACAAGAAAAATGCTAGGCTCATATGGCCTCGCTGGTGCATTCTATCAAACAGTTAAGGAAGAAGTAATATGCATTCTATACAAACTCTTCCAGAAAATTCTGTGAGGTCAGTGTCACTCTGATGCCAGATTCAATGATCATATTCCACTCCTTCTTCAGGCAGTAGAGTTTGTTGCTCATAAATGGTATTCTACAATCCAGGGCGGCTTTTCTGATGTCTTTAATGAAACTCTTCCCATCTGGAAGCTTCCTATTATTGACTCCAATGCAAAGAAACCTGATTATTTGTATAATCTGGTATAAAATAAATTAATTATGATCAGTAACTCCTAGACCTTTAAGTCACAAGTGGCTTCTCTTTTAACCCTTGTTCTGGTCTGAGGTTCCCATGCTTAACAATAATAAAAATATCTGAGGTGGTTTTCTGACATGTCTTTCCCCAAAGCAGCAAAATAAAATACAAGTTAAAAATCCACTTGAACGTTATTCAACAACTCAACACTTATTAAAAAAAAAAAAAATCAGCCAGTGTGGCAAGGATTGAACAGCTCCTATTTTTATCCAGAAAAAAAATTTAAAAAAGGAATTTATTTTGCTGTAGCTTCTAGATTGGTCCTGGAGAAGATGGTCACATTTTAAAGTCTCAAATAAGTTTTTTTTTTTTTTTTTTTTTTTTTTTTGGCTAGAAAAATCAGTTGCTATGCAGGAATCTAGAAAACCTAAATAAGGGACCAGGAAAAAGAATAAATATAAGAAAGAAAAAATCAAAATCAACAAACAACTATAAACCAGAGACACACTATGGGGGGTGGGGAAAGGTGGGATTGGTGTCAAAATAAGGGGGGGTGTGCAATTGTATGGGGAATATAAAAATTAAAAAAAAAAGAGCAAAGGGGAAAAAAAAAATCAGTAGCTACGTCTACCTACATCCAAAACCAGAGTGGGAAGGAACCTGATAGAAAAGCCATCAGGGTCTATGTCCTGGTAGACTCCTGGGACTCAGACAGGAATGAGTAGGAAAGCTAATCCAGAAAGGCTAATGGGTATTATCTAAGTGAAGCTCGTCGTCGTGGAGATGATAAAACAGCAGTGGGTTCTGGAGAATCGGGCATAAGTGTCTGGTCTGAGCATTAGGAGGTTGTAAAGCAAAGTTATCAAGGAGCTAAGCAAGGATGCATTTGCTGTGGAGATCAAATGGAGCATTGTGGTTTGTTATTATTACCTTTATATTGAAGTGTAAAGCAGACTGAAATATTTCAAGTTGTAGGCTGAGATCAAGGTCAAGCAAGAAACCAGCTGCTCACTGTTGCTGGATGTTGGCCATGGTGCCTTACAGAGACTAGCTACAAGTCACTGAAGAACCTGTCTGCATTTCTGTGAGTGCACAGTAAACCACACTCATTTTTGATGCTTCTGTCCTTTCCCCCACCCCCTACATCCTTCCTCTTTTTATTGTGGTACATGTGGTTACTTTTGCAAATAATATAACACAGGTACAAACTGATGCTCTCAATAGGTATTGACAAATTTTATTATCTTCATCTCTCAAGGACAATGCTTTTGAGATTTTAAGAAGGCAGAGAAATATTGCAATGAAGGGTTCAGATGGGAGATAGAAAATTGAAGGAGCAAGATCTAGAAAAGAGTGGAATGAGGAGGGAGAGGAGGAGAGAGAAGAGGAGGGGGAGGAGAAAGAGGAAATAAAGAGGAGGGAAAGGGAAGAGAAATGAAGGAGGGAGGGGAAAGAGGGAGGGGGAAGAGCAACAGAAAACAGGAGAGAGGTGAAGAGTGGGGAGTATGTGCAGTAAAAAGAGACGCTGAATCACAATTCCCCTCGGAATCTTCACATGCTGATTCTGTCCCTGCACTCTTCACATGAGTGACTCTTTCACCCTCAAGACTCAGCTTGTGTGTGTCCTTAGGAGGTTTCCTTTGGCCTCTCTAAATTCAAAAATTCAAACTGAAATTCTTTTCCCCATCCAGCCCCATTGCTCTCAAAAACAGAAAGCTATATTTTTTCTTGATAGCACCTTTAATAACAATTTCATTTGTATCATTCAGGGTCTGCTTGGGAAACAGAATCCATACCAGTTTGTTTTAACAGGGAGAATTTAATATAGAGAAATAGCTTAAAAATATATGCATATAGGCTGAAAAGACAAGAAAGGATGCTGAGGTACCATGGGGATAGTAACTGCAGGAAATAAGCACTGAGGGTTTTCAGAACCTAGGAGGAGATACCTTGCAGGGATGGAACCCAGATTTCTAAGGGGACCATCTGGCTCCTGCAAGTAGCTTAGGAGGTTGAAGGGGAGCCTTGGGAACTTGTACTTAGCTTCTAAGAAGTGGGTGCTGCCTGGCTGGTGCGGGCACCTCTGGCAGGGTACAATGAAGCTGGTTCTGGGAGTCCTGGAAGAAGCTAGAACCAGCAAACAAAGCTTGATGCTGGAGTAACTACATGCCTAAGGTATATGCTGCGGCAATGAGGAAAAGGAGTAAGTCCCCTTTTACTTCCTATTGCCCACCAATATTCTTAATGGCCCCTATTGGGAGAACCTATTATAGATCCAACTGGCAAGAAAAAATTGTTTGCAGAATTAATGTAGTTTTGAATTGCTCCTAGGCTAGAGCAATTCATAGCAGCATTTACAATAGTAGGCTTGGAGATGAAATAATATTGCTTAATAATCAGCATATTATTCATTTGTTTACATGTTAGGCCCCAGGTCTTTCTTTTTACTATTTTATCCTCACCATGTGAGAAGCACGGTAAGAATTAGAAGATACAGTAAATAGTATACTCCCTAGATACATAAATTTATTAGATTTTTCTCAAAGCTACTTAACAAAATATACAATTCATTTCTTGTCAATTGATCAATACTGAGTGCTTCATATGATGGTCTAGGCAAGTGAGGCTAAAATATGAATATGAGAAAGTTCCTTACTAATTTAGCAAGGAATGTAGACATTCTGATATGATGTTAGTGATAAAAATGCCATGGCAAGCAGTCATATGCTTAAATGTCCAAGGACCTGAATAGACAGCAAAATCTATAAGAGCAAAATCCACTGGAATGATTCAGAAGCTCTGTGGAAGAAGTTCTGACCAAGGTAGGCTTCAGCAGGGACAAACAACACTGGGGAGGAAGGATAAGTTTGATAAGCTTTGACATCAGCTTGATGAAAGCAGAAAAGTGAGGGAATAGTAGAAGTTATTGGACAAGTAAATTGGAGCCAACTGTGTACAGTCATGAATTCTGGAGTTAGGGTTATGAGTATTATGCTTTTTCCAGAGAAGAAACATTAAAAGGTTTTTAAGCAAAGGAATAATGTGGTCATTTTGGAAAATTTCAGAAGACGAATCTTTAGGTATCATGGAGATCTCATCTAGCAGGAACTAGAGCCAGAAAGAAGACTGTGACAATAATTCTGACTCAGAAAAAGATGAAGACAGAAAAACAGAAAAAGATCACAGGTGACATTTCAAAGGAAGAATCAATATAACATAATTCAAAATTAATCTAGGGAAAGGAAGAAGCAGAAAATACCTAAAGTTTATATACAGCAATCTACATAAAGAAGTTTGAAATGGGGGGAGGTAGACAAAACCATTACATTCATCAGAAGAACTTGATTAATAATAACATCAGTATAATAAAAATCCCAAGTGAATATTCATCTAATAACTAAACCCAGTGTTCTTAAAAATTTTTATGGATCTGGAAGAATATATATGTCTTCATCTTGAGGAACTTCAGAGCTACTAATACTATGCTTCTGGAAGTTATAATAAGGAGATGGTGTCTCGTTCCCGTAAATATGCTCTTCAAAATTGGATTGTTCACTGTTCTCGTATATTTCCTTCTCACTTTCTTCTTCAGCTTCGTGTGGACTTACATTCATATTTTCATAGTGATCCTGTATGTCAGCCTCTCTCTCAGCAGGTCCGTGGTCTTGAGTTTGAAATGACATTTGCTGACTTGAGCTGACCACATAGGGACTGAAGGGTAGTGTTTCAGTAGATTCTTTTTTCCTGCTCCTTCTCCTTTGCAAAAAACTTGGTAAGGTAAATTGTGGTGTGTTATTGCGTTTCCAGTGCCAAACACACCCAATTCCACAGACCACCACCAATAAAAAAAGAGAAATTCCTACAGAAATGGCCGCTGTTGTACTTCCACAATTTTTCAGCATTTTTGCACAGTGTTGTTCTGTGGTCTGGGGCAGCCCTTGATGAATTCACAAGTACAGACCACAGTAATTCCTTGTAGGGTATGGTTCAAATGCAATTTTGAAAGATCTTTTAGGCATTTATTTTTCAGCCCTAAAAGAAGATCATCTGGCAATGTCCTGAAGCAATTTGAAGAGAGAGTGAGTAAACATAGTTTTGGAACATGGTTCTTGCTCTCTTTGTATGTGATAGGTCTCACTTTAGAATCATCAATGTAAAATTGCACTGTGTCAATTTCTATTGATGAAACAGAAATGAGTGGAGGATTAAAACAGAGTAGAAACCCAAGACAAGTAAGATTGAATCATCTGCCGTCCAGATAATCTGCTATAAATTAAACACATATTACTTGAATATTTATTACACAACATAAAAACCCACCAATTTATACCAATACATTAGGCACCAACATTTGGCGAGCTGTTACTTCAATATAAAATATAAATACCAATATAAAATATAATACCAGATAATGTGGAGAGAAAAAGTGTTACATGTGTGGTAACTGCCAAAGCCTTAATGGTTTTATCACTTAGATTTCAACATGGTTTTTAACTATAAGGCTAATAATTTTTAAGTGAAAGACAGCACTTTGTACACAGCAAGAGGCATGGAGCAAGAGTATATATGTACAATCATTTCCATTACCTATCATCTCCTCTATGAAACCTTGCCCATTCCTCTTTGGAGTGTCCAGGGACTAAGTCTTTTTCTTAATCATGGCTTCCTCTGTATTCCTATGTTAAAGAGTCCATTTTCTCTTTTAGCATGATAATTGCAATGATAGGGAACTGTGTATCCTCCTATCTAGTTACATGGAAAACAGGAAGTAGGTTTTTTTTTTTTAATCTCTATACTCCTGGAGAATAGCATGGTATCTAGCATAGAAAAGGCACTGAGTCAATATTTACTGAGTGAATGATTAAATAAACACATGGCTCCAAATCTCAGCATCTAATTGCTTAGATAGTTTAAAACTCAAGGTACAATTTCTATAGGATACAGTTTATTTTTAAAAGAAGAAAAAAGCTGTTTCATATAACACAAAATATATATAGCAAAATGTCTAAAACAAAACTCAAAAGTCTTCCTACCACTGGTCTTCCCACAACTTTCACAGGTAACTTTCATTCAATTGAGATGATTTTAGTATATTCTCTGTCAATGCTATAAAATGATAATGTGGAAGGAATGGGAGTTGTCCACCTAGACAAAGTATTCTGATTTTATGAGCCTAAACATAGAAATAGTTATATCCAAAATGGAATTTTTCTTATTGTTTTTTTTCTTCCAGTTCAATTAAGTGACATATAATATCACTGGATTAAAATGTACAACGGTGATGCACATATTGTGAAATAATTACTACACTAAATTTAGCTAACATACATCAATTTACAGTTATAATTTTTTTAGTGATGAGAATTTTTAAGATTTATTCTATTAGCAACTTTCAAATATACAATACAGTATTAACAGTTAACAGACATTAACAGTAGGTTTGTGGGATGACTGTCATCTATTGAATATCATCACTAATATTTGTTTACCTACTTATTTTGGGTCAGCTTCTAACTTGCTTCACTCTAAGGTTTTTGAGTGCTTGGAATCGTATGTTATTTATCATTATTTTACCAACACTAGTACTGCAACACTGACTTGCTAGTTTATTAAATATTTGTCATTGAATGGAGCAACCAGCATTTTGGCAACAATAGTAATGATAAACAGGAAAAAAAATCTAGGATGATATGCCCTCCTTTTAGTGTATAATTATACATGATACTTTTCTTTGTTCAGGATGACAATGTTTACTTACTAGTTTATAATTTGGCATTTCACATAAAAATTAAATATGATAGGTAGTTTATAAAATTTATTTAATAAAAAAAGGACAGATACCCCAGATCGAGATAGCTCATAACTGTGCTGGAACTTTTAGGGCCCTTACTTTATAAGGTGAGTCACAATATGTTGTTCAAGGGCAAAGGTTTAGCAAATGACTTTAACCATTGAATCCTACTTTCTGAAATAGATGAGAATTGATCATATGTAAGATATTTTATGGTAAAATAGTTTTTCATTTAGGTGATTATTTGTCAGCATATTTGTATTAATTTTTAAATATTGACAGAAATTAATCAGCTTTTACAAAGGTTCTAGGTCTGCAATAAAAGTGGGGAAGACGAATTATTGTCCCCTGAGGATAAGAAATTGCCCTCCTGAATTTCCAAGAGAATTATTTATTTTATCATATATTGCTCTACGTAGTTACGTCAGTACATTCTCAATATTAAAATTATGAAAGTACTTAAATATTCACTGAGATAAAGTAAAGATTTTTTTACAGGCAAATAAATGTATCATTTACCAGTCTTCAAACTAATGTAATAGAAACAAATCTTACGAGACACAAGACTAACTGGAATATAAAATCAATATCAAACAAGAATAAATACAGTTTAACCCCTAAATAAATTTCACTTTGTCCAAGTTGGAAGTACAACTGTTTTTGGAAAACAGTTATACCAGGTTACCTATAATTATGCATTTGCCTTAAAATAACAAATTGTTGATAAAATTCTGTAACTTTCAGTCAAATACTGTTCTATTGGAAATGAGGCAATAGCAAAGCATCCTCTCATTTTTTACTTGTTGAGTAAATGTATTTGCAAGGAAATATTAACATCACTCTCAGTTTGTAAATTGCTTTTCTTTAACCCTCCTGCCACCTAAAGCCACTTAAAAACTGTGTTTGATGCAATTAAAAGTTATTAAAAATCACCTTTTCCTTAGAGGTTTTCATTACCCACATACCCTAAATCTGGTTCTTACCTTGAGATTGCTATGTCAACCTCTCTTGTGTTGTTTTGGTTATGTGATTTGCTTGAGAAGTTTTTCCTCTTTTTCAGTTTGGTTAACTACTTCCTTCTTTACCTCCTCCTTTCAGGTTATTTCAGACTTGCAAAGTTTCCTGACTCTAGAGGAAGTTCTTATCAGAAGCATCAGAATAAAGATAAAAGGCATGACTTTTTGAATAAGGAAGTCAAGCCTTCATCTTTTTTAAGTAATAATTCTCCAACCTATATCAGAAAATGATGCCTGATGCCTAGATTATTTTTTATTTGAGCAATGTTTGCAGTCCCCACCTTAGAATTAATGAAAGACATTTCACTTGAATTTCACATTTTTAAAAAGAAAAAAAATGTAGTAATTCATAGGTCTTGTTGATTTGTTTGCTTGCAAGATTGCAAAAGCAATTCTCCCCTCAAATATTATGTCCCAATAACCTTAGATTATAGCTATATTTGTCAAACTAGTGTCACATTTTTGGCTCAGTAGATGTTAATTAAACTTTAAGATTGACAACATAGGAATTTTTCCAAAGTATATTCTAAGTTGTACCACTTCTGGAATTTTCTAGTAGATCTTTCATGAAGTAAATCTGAGCAATATGGCTCTCATGGAGATTCACTGACACTCAGCATATTAAAGGCAGTCCTACAGCAAGCAAACAATAACAAATAACAAATATGAGAGAAACACTGTTTAACATGGTATAATAATAGTAGCCAGCATATTCTGAACACTTAGGTGTGTATTCTTAAGCCTTTGTGCCTTATTCAGTGAATTCTGACAACCCTGCAAGAGAGGACTGCTATTCATCCTATCTTACAGAGGAGGGAAAGGAAGCAGAGTGGACAACCAGTCACCCAACATGGTCATACCACCCGCCCCCGGCCCCTGTGTGCTAAACCTCTATACTTGCTGACTTGTTAGGTTGAATAACACATTTCCAACATAGAATCCTTATTTAATAGTATCTCTCAAAGACCAACTCTGTGCATTACAAAAGAAGGAAAATGCGCAATTAAATTAGATGATTAATTTAAAAGTTGCCTTTTGAATTGTATTGGAAAATTTTCAAACACAGAGGGTTAACTTTGTATAAGATGGCTTACAAAAGGAAGATTTAGTTACTGGAATACCAGCTGGACATTAGGAGAACAATACTGTCAGTGCTGAATAGGCATTGGTATCATGATGGACACTATACTGAGCAATAGTATGCAATAATGAAGGCAGCACCAAAAGCCTAATGGAAGAAGCTGCTGTATTCACAGATCATTTCAGATGAAAGTAGTAAGGCCTAAGAAAAACCTAGCTATGCATAGAGTCAGTGGGAGTGCAGGAAAGGGACAGACAAGTCAGAGTGGTCAAGTAAAGTAAGAAATGACTTACGCCTTGTTGGGTAAGTAGGAGTTAATCAGAATAGAAAGGTAGCAGGAAAAAATTCCAGATGGAAATTTTATGAAGTTGGGAAGCTTGGACATACTCTTACAGTCTCGTTAGCAAATTTAACTACCATATTTAACTGGTAGCCACCACTCCAAGTAATAACACACACATCCATATGTGTACACAATCTGCATGTAGTGTGTAATTAGTGTAATATTTATGTAAAATTACATGCTATATTCTTAAAAGTCAGAACAGCTGCTCATCTAGGTTTTGTCCTTGAATGTTAGGAAAGTCATTAAACCCTTATCACTTTTGTTGTTTTATAGAAAAATAAAATGGAGGGTTATTGCTTGATCCATTTCTCTAGTTTTTTTTTAGTAATAAATATAATAATTCTGTTTATAGAAGGCTATGTTTATTCAAGGAGAGTTACTGTACAATCATCATTTATATAGATCAAGTGTTATTATTATATCTTGAGCTCTATGTTTTCCTAATTCCCATCTTTGACCTACTGATGGGCATTTTTTTTGAAAATACAAAAAAAATACCATTTGTTTGCCTTAGCAAATGGAAAGCTACAGAGGTATATACATTTCTGATCCAATGCTAAAATTGGCATTTTCTTTGTTTTAACTTTTATTTATCACTTACATTTTATATATTTGTCTACTTTTGAATCATATTTTCTTCATGATCACTGAAGCTCTGTAATATAAGAGTCTTCATATATCTGAGTAATACCGATCATGGTTTTGAAAGTCTCTGTGAGCATATCTTATGTAAGCCTTGTTATGTGGGATCCTTCCAAAAGGTTCATGATCATTGAAACAAGATTCAAAAACTTCATTCATAGCCTTTTGAGCTACTTACTTCTCTCCTGACATTCCTAACAGCCAGGATAGAAAGAATGGCTCTGTGGCGC